CCCCCCCCCCCCCCGATAACCTCCACTCATCCCCCCTCCATAGCTCCCACGCCTGATCTTCCCATAGCTGCCCCCTCCAGCTGCCCCCCCATAGCTGCTCCTGGAGCTTCCTCCACCACTGCTGCTGCCAGAAATCCTGGAAGTGATTCCTCTTGAGGAGGCAGAGGAATACTTGCTGCCCCCTCCACCGCCGGTGCTGGCACTGCCACCACTGCTCCCTCCCAGGCAGCTCTTGGAGTTGTGCTTGGAGCTACAGATCATCGTGGCAGCGGCGAAGGATCCAGGGGAGAACTCAAAGCTGGTCTTACAGTTGTGGAATCATAGCTCCAACTGCCCCCTGCCTGGCCTGCCTTTATACCTGAGGTAGTGGGTGTCACCAGGAGCACCTTCTTCCCATGTGTGCTTGCAAGCCACAGTTTTTCTGCCAAGGGTAATTTGCCAAAAGGAGATGCTTGACAGTGTCAGGAAGCTTCACCCGTGCTCAGAGTGTTTGTGACCGTTTGTTTATTGATACAAAACATGTAATTTCTGTTGGGTGGCTCTGAATTAGGTAGATCTTGTTTGAGATCTAGTCCACTGACTTACAGTCATCTGAATTAAACTCAGCCCACTCGCCTCATCCTGTTCCCATCTTTCAGCACAACAATAAACTGACACACGGAGGGACAGCAGGGATGTTACTGTCTCTCCTGCCATGTCCTCCTCCTCACTCTCTGTCCCCTTTTAGATTCTTGTCAAGGAATCCCAGACGATTTTTTTATACTACAGTGATATTTCAATAGGTTCTGGTTTCTGGTTATCTTCCGCTGTATGCTCCTTATTTTTCATCCCTTATTGCTTTGTGCCTCTTGAAAACGTATCACAGGGTGTTCTGTAGGGACTGAACCACTCTGACATCTTTGTCATTTCCTATAAAAACTTGAACATTGGTAAATGTTCTAGATGTCAGCAGTTTATTCCAAACGTACCTCTACAATTATGTTTTATAAGTAGCAATTTAATGATGAAAAATCATATGACAACAACTAGAAGATAGCTCTGTGTAAGACTGAGGAAAGGAGTGGGACAGGTTGTTGCAGGAATAACTTTCCATGTGCCTGGACCCAACACAGTTACAGGAGGGTCGATGGGGAGGTGTCCTGGCTCTGGGCTGGTCTCCCTCGACACCTCTGTGAATATGAGAGGTGATGTTCTCAGTCCTGAGGGGATTTCAGAATTTCAGTCCAGATGTTTCCTTCCACAGTGCAAATACAAACACACCTGGAGGAGCAAGGTTAAGTTCCTGGGTTTGGGATTAGGTCAATAAGCTGGGCATCAAAACAGCATTTTCCCTTCAGTTTTGTTTTCCATTCATGGAGACAGCATGAACAGAAGTAGGAAATATTTGCTGTCTCTCATCTTCTTTAAGGTTGTGTCTGTTTCAGATACACAGCAGTGGATGGTTCAGCTGAGCATCCCTCTTCTGAGCTCTTACAGCAACCTGAGCCTCAGACATCTGCCATCTCTCCCGCCTGTCCTCCCCAGGCACAGGGTGTCTAGCAACACCCAGCCTGCCAGCTGCCATTCTTTGTAGGTGGCACTAGTTGGGTGCTACCCGACTTCCTGTACTGATTTGGAATATTCCTTTGCTGCTCAGCCCTTGTGTTGTTGGCTGTTGCTAATTTAGAGGTTTGTTTGTTATGGCTTATAGCAAGTGTTTGTGGAAACATCTTTTTATAAATGCCCCTCCCAGCACAGCCTCACCCACACTGGAGGACACACCTAAAGTTTCATCTGCTAGGCTTCATTTCTGAAATGGCCAAGGATGCAAAGCACTCTCTGGCTTGTGGAAATGTAGATGGTTCACTACAAAACTTAGGGGAGTCCAAGTCATGGAATTTCAGCTTTTTCCAGTGAGAAATCCTTTCCTCCCAAAGTGCACAAGATTCTCTTCTACACTAACAGCTACTTGAAGCTTTTGGGTTCTGTTCTGCTTGACTGTTGGCTTCCAGTGGCTGGCCCCCATGTCAGAAGGACATGAGCAAGTTCTGTGTTGTTCTGACTAGTTCTGCAGAAGGGTAGAGGGTTCCTGTTTGGGTATTTTTTTCTGGAAAGATCCTTATTACATCTTTTGTATGAGTCACCCCTTGCAGGTGGTCTGAGCTTCATGCCCTCTGTTCACACACAGAGCAGGTTTGGATGGTCTAAGTATCGGTGAGGATGTTGTGTGCAACTTACTTCACAGCTTCGAGTTTCACACATGGGAGGAAGATTTGATGCCATTTCCTTTCCCTGGAATTTGTGCAGGCTGTGTACCCAAGGGTGACGATTAGCTCCTTAGATTGGAAGAAGCCTGATGGAAGTGACTGGCCAGGATCAGAGATAGAAGTTATGGAATAAACAGTTCCTGAAAGGAATGTTTTGTTTCCGAGCTTGCTGTAAGGTGGAAGCTGGTTCACAAGATGTTTAACCTGGTTAACCTCTGCAGTTGTGTCTCGTAGGACTGTGCAGGCATTTGCAGGCATACTGAGCTCACTAGGTGATCTTAGATAAAGTTTCCAGCAAAATGGAGAGAGAACACTGTGGATGAGATCCTGGAGAGATTTCTTCAGGCTCATAACCTAAGAGAGATTCCAGTAGACTGTACAGGAGCTGCAAGGCAGCCCAGCAGTGCCTGTGACACGGGCCAGTGGAACGTTGTGAAATGCTGTGAAATCCCAGGCTGGTGCTGCTGGTGCCTGGGGAGCAGTGAAGGAGGCAGGAGTCTCCTTTGGGGCTCCTGCTGCCTCTGGGTGGTGCCTCCTCGGCCCAGGCTGCTCACAGGTGCCCAGGCAGAGTTTCAGGTCTGTTGGGTGTGAGTGTTAAAGAGCAGTTTGGGATTCTTACCTGCCTGAGAGACCTCTGAGAGGCTGCTCCAGAGAAGCTGTGAGCATCTGAGCCTCACACTGAGTAAAAAAATGAGTGTGAATTGAATTCAAGGTGGGATTTAAAACACAGGAGTTGTTTTGAGGCAGACAGGTGATTTTTTTTGCTCTGGGCATAACTACACAGGGTCACCAGGTACCCTCACAGCTGAGACTGTGGCCTTCAGGAGAACCTGCCCGTGCACCTTGACTGACAAGCTTCAGGTCACAGCTTGGATAGGAGGGGGTGGAGGAGGAGGAGGAAGATGCCCTGGGGGCAGATGGCACCGTAATTGTTTGCAATGAGGCCTCTTCCCTTCTCCTGTGATGAAACTGTGAGGAGCTCCTGCCCAGAAGAGGAGGGTGGACTATTTAAGCCAGAAAGGCTCCCCAGCATGGGCAAGGATTCACCCACTGCTCCCAGCTGGCAGCATGGTCCTGTGCTCCAGCAGCACAGGCTGCCTTGGCTGAGAGCAGCACCTGGGAGAGGACGGAGCCTGTTCCCTCTGGGGTGTGGCAGCAGTGAGGGGTGAGGCTGAACCAGCCTCCCGGGAGGCCTGGGGGGATGGCACCCTCACGGCTCTGTGGGCTCAGCACCCACAAACTCCTGCCAGCTCCTGTGGCACCACCTCTGAGCCCTGTGTTCAGAGCCTCCTCTGCAGCTGCTGAGGCTGCTGGGCACAGCACTCGCTGGGGGGACTGTGGGGGGGCTGCTTCCCACCCCTTTCAGTGTTCCAGAGCTGGTCAGTCCTCTTCCAGCCTCCCTGCTGCTGGTCAGGTCTTGTCTGACAGAGAGAAAAACTGTGGAAGCTCTATCTGGGGAGTATGACTCATAATTATGCATTATATACTAACCTCCATTATTTAATCATTAAACAATTTTATTAAATAAAAAATCCTAGGTGATCCCATAAAACAATATTTCTCCACAGTAAGGAAGAAACCCAGTCCCTGGAGCACGACTGTGCTGGAGGGAGAGCCCAGTTCTCGTTCTGAGGATGCACATTGCTCCTCCTTCCACTGAGGGGCAGCTGCCCAGCACCCAGCATGAAGCTCTTTTCCTCTCCACTAAAATTTAAATGATAAGGGTTTTTTCTTATCCTGATAAAAAGCTAGATGCTTGAAAACTGAAAAATAGGGAAAAAAATTGGTTTGGATTAGTTGAAACCTATGAGGGCTCAGTCATGTTTGTTTTTTGTTTTGAAGTGAGGGAGTAAGACCCCAGTCTCCTGCTCTCTGCTGCAGGACAGGCTGTAAGTCCTGGCACCTGCCCACGCCCAGGAGGTGTGCTCAGGGGCAGTGTCCCTGCAGCACACACCCCTGGTGCTGTCTGGTGGTCCTAACACAGCACGTTCACCTGCCCACCAGTTAAACTGGATGGCAGCACTGGGAGGAGACCTGCTGCCCTGGGCAGGGGTGGGCAGAGGTTCCTGCAGGGAAAAAATCCTTGTGCACATCACACTTGAGCTGTTAGTCACTCACTATTGCAGAGACTAGGACTGACGAAATGGTAAAGGCCACCTTCAGAAGATCCACCACCCAGTGGAACAATGGTGATTATGACAGGAGGGGTAATTAGGTGAGTCAGAGCTGTGAGAGTCTCTTACAGAACGAACCCTTTGGTTGGGAACTTGGTCATTTTGGGTCTGAGCAGCCCCTCAAACAGCCGAATCGTTGGGTCTCAGCTAATGCCACTTAGGTGAGCCCCTGGTCAGCAGAGGGTGGTTGTGACACAGCCACAGCCCCTGCGGGGAGCCCGAGATTCCCCGTGCCCCTGCCAGCCACGTCATGCCAGACATCCCCTCACAAACAGGTATTGCCACCAGCCTGGCACCCATCCCCTGAGCCTGCACACAGGAGGACACAGCCGGGCTCTTCGAGGTGGCCGAGGGAGGACTGTGTGGTCCCCTGGCACCGTCCCACGCACCGACTCGGGCAGTGCCACCCCACCAGCCTCGGCCACTGTCACTGTGGGCTCCAGCAGAGTGCTGGAGAGAGGTGTCAGGGCCGAGGCTCGTTCCCTGTTTTCAGCTCGTGGGTGTCCCCAGCACACAGCGTTGAGCCGCGTGCTCCTGGGGGAGAAGAGGAGCCAGCTGGGGGAGCCTGGCACCGTGGCTCTGCCCTGGGCACCCTCCGTGGTCCTGCCAGGAGCCGAGTGCCCTCTGTGGAGCTGCTGCCCCTGGCACAGGGCTGGTGACGTCCCTCTCCTCCTGTGTCTCCAGATAGCCCTCCGAGGATTTTTTCACTGTGTACTACGTCTCATTACATTTGTATATAATATATTGTAGTTACATATTGTTGTACTTTTGTTGTATAGTCTAAAAGGAACTTCCATGTAGCCACAGGTAGCGTTAGCCAAACTTGTCAGCATCTCCTGGCCTCTGGGGAAAATGCAGGTCCCAGTGGAGCAGAGTTTCAGCTCTGAGTCTCAGCTGTGGGGTAACTCACTGCTCTCCCTCCCTGCTGGGCAGGGGAGGAGTGTGCCAGAGCTGGCAGCAGGACAGACTGTGCCAGGGCAGGCAGCAGGACAGACTGTGCCAGGGCAGGCAGCAGGACACCGCCAGGCGGGGATTTCTCTGGGATCCTCCAGTTAAGGAGAGCTGACACCTTATGGAGAGAGCTGGGAAGTACCGGGCTGTCCGAGCTGCTGGCTCTTACCAGGGACTTTCTCCGTTTCCTTGTTCTTTGGCAAAAGCAGCATTTGCATATAATGATAATTTTTTATTCCAGCTCCTCTTAAGTTTTCATCTGAAATCAAATGTAGTGCTCATGAAGAACTTTCGTGAGTCTTGGCACAGGCTGGACCAGCCTTGCCGTGTTCTGGGACAAACACGTGCTCAGTTTCCCTTTCATCTGAAAAAAAAAAGCAACAGAAACAACCCAGTGTAAATATTTTCACCAGTTCTTCAGGCTGACATTTCATTCTGTGGAGGCAGGAGGGAAATGCCAGTGCCGCTGGCAAAGGGAAGTGAAAACTCAGATGCCAAACTCTCAGGATTTTAGTTCTGATGAGTGGCCTCTCACTGTCGGGGGATTTGATCTGTGCTGCTCAGCCCGAGCCCTCGGCGGGGAGCACAAGCAGCCAGGCTGCAGACAAGGGGCTGGGCCAGGGCTAGGAGGCTGTGGCAATGTCTGGGGAACTTGGCAAGCACGATGCCAGAGAAGGTGTGTGCTGGCAGAACCTCCTCCTCCCTGTCTCCCCAGCCGGGCACTGGCAGCATCGATGCTGACTTGCGTGTCCAGTCTACGAG